CCCAGTCTCTCATACTTATGCCCCTGGGTTCCAAACCACTAGACTACTATGCCCACCTCTTCCCTGCCCCCCACTCATGCCCTCATCTCCCAAACCTTGGTGCTCAGTTTCTGCAAACTGGTCCGAGAGTGGAAAATTCCATGGTCACTTCGGTTCAGTCTGTGCAGGAGAGGAAGAGGAGTAGGAGTTGAGCCCAGCTCTGGTGCCATGGCTCCACCCCCATACCCCGCACCTCACACACCCCCCCACCCCAAGCTTCCTAACTCCCCATGAGCCCACCTAGACTGGACATCAGCTGCCTTCTCCCGTGCCAAGGTCAACACACGTTCCCGCTGCCCATACAGCTTCCGACTTCGGCTCAGCTCCCGGACAGACTGCAGCACCTCAGCCTGCGCCCTCTGGAGGTTCTCTGTTCCCTAGTGGTATGGACACACAAAGTCCTGACCAGACCACCTCTAGTCCCAAGCCAGCTCTTCCTTCACCCCACCCACTGAGCCATACCTTCCTAAGCACCTGCTCCTTGGCACTCCGCCCTGTGCCCCCTGCTAGGTCACGGTAGCGATCAGATGCCTGGAGCCGGGTTTGGCCCCCAGCCATGGTGGCATCCAGCAGGCAGCGCCAGGCACCAAACACCGTCCTGCCCCTCCCCAGAGAAGGTCTGTGTTGAGAAGGGAGCACTCCACTGCTTCATGAGACCCCCCCCAACACCATGGGAGACAGAGTGCTTCCCATCCCCCATCGTCTGGGAGCCCATCAATCGATCAGCCCATTAGCTGAGCCACAGGATCACTCATGCCCTCCGCCCCCACCCACAGTGTCCTTGCTAGGTCAGCTCCTCTCCTGCTGCTGTGTCAGCTCTACCTGCAGCTCACATGCCCTCCCCACTCACTAAGGCTTCATCTCCACAGGTTCCTGGGGTTGAGCTGCCCATCACTTTTTGGCCTCTGTACCCCGCACCCCATGGGACCCACCTGCTGTCCATCTCCCCGCTCCGGTGCCCTTCCCTCTTCAGGAATGGCCCAGCCAGTTTCTGGAGTGCCTATTGAGAAAGTCATCACAGACCCAGTTCCATTTCAAAGACCCACCCCAAATGGGGGAATATGGGATCAGAGTATAATAATACCATTTTTTGGATGCTTATTACATGCCACTCACTTTGCTAAGTGTCTCATATTCATTAATTTATTTAACCTTTACAACAACCCTATGTGAAGGTGAGGTATTATTATTATTCCCATTTTACAGAGAAAGAAACTGAGGGCAAGAAAGATTAAGTAACTTGTCCAAGGTCACACTGCTAATCAATAGCACAGCGGGGATTTGACACAAGCCTGCCTGACCCTAGGAATTTGCTCTTGACCACAACAGGGATATATGTATGGAGAGACATGGTTGGTGATGTAAAAGACGCTAGAACAAGAGAGAGGATCCAGAGAAAGGAGTCCCATACCTGCCCATACTCCCGTTCAATGGCTGCCCTCTGCTTGCTGTAGGATCTGTGGAGATTGGGGGGGAGGTCGGGGTACGGTTTGGTCCTGTTCTCCCACCCTCAGTCCTCTCCTCAGCCTGGGCAGGATGAAGAGGGGAGCCAGGCCTAGAGTGTGACCATACACACCCAGAGGGAATGGGACTGGAGAGAGAGTCCTTGAGATCACCTCGGGCAGCCGCAACACAGAACAGCTTCACATTTCTCAGAGCCCCAGCAGGATCCTCCCCACCCCAGGAGGACCATCTGTGGGCTTGGAGGTGAGGACTGATGGGGGGCCCTGAGTACGATGTCCGCCAGCCTTCCAACAGGTCTGGAAGAGGGAGTGGAATTCTTCCCTAAGTTTGATTTTGGATGTGGGGGGAGTGGAGTGCATCTTGGGTTTTATGCTTTCTTTCTTTCCTCTTAACCATTTATCACTCTGTGCCCTCCTCTAAGTACAGACGTCCTTGGTGTTCCACCAGAGAGGCCTGCAGACCTTTCTGAAAGAAAAGGTAGAAGCCAAGGACAAGTGAGAATTTATCGGTCAGGCAACTGAACCTTGCCTTCATGGATGAGCATCCTATTGGCAGGAGAAAGGAATCCAGCAGGCACGTGGGCTGACTGAAACACCTTGTACACTAAGGAGGTCTTCAAAGCACCACGTTGGAGAAGGCCAGATGATGCTCCCTCTGCTGAGTGAGGCTGAGACACCAGCGTTAACGTCACTACATGTGTGTGACGGGCTTTGATGACTCAAGAGTGGTGTATAAACAGAGCTTTCCCCACCAGTCCTGGGCCAGAAACAATTTGTGCAGAGTGAATGGAGTGACTATTTCATTTCTAATTTTCCTCTGTGCGGACTCCCTTCAGTACACAGGGAGGTTGGTGAAATAGTCTTTGAAGTGGAGAAGTTGACTATTTGTGTGTGTGGTGGGGGTGGGGGTGGAGGGGAGGGATTATTCCTATTCGGTATCTGGAGAGGCAGGCCTAAGGTGAGAGCTGTGAATGGATAGGTTGGGGAACTCTTCGCCACTGTCCACCGACCCCCGCAGTACGCTGGGGGAGAAGTGGCGCGCACGACGGCGAAGTTGGATGTATGTGAAGGGGGTCGGGGGCTACCTGATGTCCTCCAGCAGATCCGCCTCCCTCTGCTGCCGGGTCTGAAGGATGCTCAGCTGCTCCAGGAAGCGAAGCTTCACCTCCTGGGCGGGCTTCACCTGTGGGGTAAGGGGAGGATGAAGACTCCCTGGAGCGGGGACCTAAAAAACACTCCGCGCAGGGAGCGGTGGGGGGCGGGGCCGGGGAGGGGCTGAACTATTTCCCCGGTTACTCGCGTGTTGGGCTCTGACCCCCTCCCACTTCCCGTCTCCCACCGTAGGTCCAGTGCCCCCTTGGCTCCCTCCGCTCCCCCAGCCGACCAGAAGTCCCCGTTCCCAGGCCAAGCTCACTTTTCGGGGCGGCGGCTGCATCTCCGCTCCGGACAAGGTTGCCAGCGACTCGACTCCGGAACTCCAGGAAGCCCCGCCCACGACGAAACCCCGCCCCAGACCTGGCTCGGCCCCGCCCTCTCCCTGCTCCCGGTCGCCTTGTCAGGCTACGCGCAGGGCGCGGAAGCGCGAGGGGGCCGCAGAGGAACTAAACCTCTGTTATTGCTGCGAATACCCCGGAAGGGTCCCGGCCGCAGGGCGGACGCAGCGTCCGCTGGGCGGTGGGGAGAACCCCGAGCTTCTGAGTCAAGACGCGGGGTTCTATTTCTAGTGTGATCCCTGATTCAGCCTGTAATTATTTCTAATCGTTAATTTACATATGCAGATCAGAAGTTCCCGCGCTAAGGGTGAGGAATGGCGAGGAATTCAATATGTGACCCGGGAAACTGAGTCACTGAACACCTGAGCGAAGATGCGTCTGACGAAGGAAACAGGGCTGGTCTCAAACCTTTTACCAATTCCCGCTGGACTGGAAAAGCCAGCGCGAGCGGGGTGAGAAAGACGCCTGGAGCCAGGAAGGAACCAGACCCAGAGGAAAAGACAGGTACATCCTGGCCCCACTGGAAACTAAAAGATCCCAGCGAGTCGGTGTGAGCTGGGAGATTTGCGTGGGGACTTATGGGACAGAAAACCCCTGTCACATTTAGAGTCTTTCCTTCAGGGTCTGCACCCCAAGATGTATCGGCCCTAGCACTATTTTCTGAGGATCCTCGTCCCCGATTCTCATTCTCACCTAAACTCCGTTGGCCCAGCCCCTGTTCTCACACCCCCCGCATGGCTCAAAACTCAAGATTCACATATCCAACTACTCACTAACACCTCTACTAGTATATCTAATGGGCACCTCAAACTTTTAAAACGGCTCCTTAAACTTCACCTTCCCCTGTTAACTTATTAAATGGCACCACACTCCCTCAAGTTAGGAAAGTGAGAAATCTGGGGTCAGTGTGCTCTTTCTCCTACCTCCACTTTCCATCCATCAGCAAGTTCTATTTCCTATTGATCCACTCCCCTCAGTTTCCAAGACCACCACCCTAGTCCAAGTCCCCATTATTAGTCTTCTGGTCAAATATTTGATCTCCTTGCTTCCACACTAACCTTCACAACCCACTGTTCACACAGCAGCCAGATGGATCAATTTTTTTTTTAAGGGAAATAAGATCTCAGCATATTCTCACTTAAAATGCAATTGCTTCAGAATAAATCCAAACAGCACCCATGGCCTACAACATTATGCATGATTGAGTACCCACTGATTTTTCCCACTTGAACCTGTACTCTCCTCCTCCTCCCCACTCACTGGGTTCCAGCCTTCTTGCTGTCCCCACAACAGGCCAAGTCCCTTCCCATTACAGAGCTTTCCTGCTGTTTTCCCTCTCCAGAGCTTCTCTCCCCAGCACTCCACTTGTCTCCTTCTCCACAGCTTCTCCACCCTTATGTTTAGCTCTTCACAGAGGCCTTCCCCATCCACCCAGTCTAAAGGCCACCTCCACAGTCACTCTCAGACTCACAACTTTGGTTTAGTTTCTTCACAGCACTAAACTCACTTGTTTATGTATTTATGTGTAGATTTTCTTTTTTTTTTTTTTTTTAAAGATGACCGGTAAGGGGCTCTCAACCCTTGACTTGGTGTTGTCAGCACCATGCTCAGCCAGTGAGCCAACCGGCCATCCCTATATATGGTCCGAACCCGCGGCCTTGGTGTTATCAGCACCGCACTCTCCCGAGTGAGCCACGGGCCGGCCCTATGTGTAGATTTTCTATTTTCTGTTTCCCTTCTACAGTGAAGGATCAATAAGAATAGGGACCCATTTGTTTTGATCATACTGTATCCCAAGACCTGGCACCAATAAGGTAAACAATACATATTTGTTGACTGAAAGAATGGTCGCTTTTTGGTTTCAAGGTTTTTTAACAGTGACCCATCCTTTTTTGACTCCCCCTTGCCCCAGCTCCCAAACCCAATCAATCTCCCCACTCCGGGGCTTCAGTGCAGTCCCAGAATGTAGAAAGGGGGATGGGATAGATTGTACATCATCCAGGCCTCTGGCTTCCAAACTTTTTTTTCTTTAATGCAGTAAAACCATTCTTTAAAAACCCCATATCTCTCACAGAACCCCTGCATATCAAATATATAAAGCAGGAGCTGCCCTTGTTGAGGGAAAATATGTGGGGCTTACATCTCTGAGAAACACAGTTTGATGTTCACTACTCTCCTTATTTCGGTTACCTCATAATACAGATAAATGGGCTGAGGCCAGAGAGGGGCCATGACCTGCCATGGGACACATGGTCTCTGAAGCCTTCCACAGCACCACATGGATTCTGGAGTCTTTCCAGCAAGGGCAGAGGAAGCTCCTGGCAATGTATGCCACGGTGAGAGCTTGGGTCTTCTAGGTACCTATTCTCTCAGACTGCTGGTCCTAGGGTCATGTGAGGGGCTGGCTGGAGGGTGGACTAGAAGTGCAGGGGGGTTGGCTGGGGAAGTCCGGTGTCTGTATTGGAAGGCTGGTGAGGCTAGGGGATTGGGGGCTGGATGGCTGGGAAGGGCTTCCAGGGCCTGTGGTGGTCTCTCCCTTTCTTAGGATGAGGCTGTTGAGCTCCTGGAGCAGCTGCTCTTCCAGGGACCCCCATGCCTGGGGACTGCTTTTTGAAGGGGGGCCTGGAGGGGGCTCAGGTGGCCTCTCCTCCTGGCCCTGGGTGCTTGCCTTGGAGAGAAGGGGTTGATCAAAGGATCTCTGGCTGGTGAGGGGGGACTCTGTCTTGGCTGTCCACTCCCGTGTAGTGGAGAATAAGGTGGAGGTGTCCTTGGTCAGCTCGGGGAAGGCCCCTACTTCCTCGTATACTGGTTCCTCATACACAGGCTCCTCCAGTTCCTCTTGCTCTTCCACAGACCCCTGGGATGACTTCATCGGCTGGATGGGAATGGGATGGCAGAGGGCACAGAGTTAGAGTTACCAGATTATTAATCACTAACATTTTTTGAGCTGTTCCTCTGGGCCAGATGCTGCAAAATACTTGGCATGTATGGTTACACTGCAGAAGAGCAATACTTGTGCAGTAGGTTACACTGCAGAAGAGCAAACCAAGGTGCAGAAGGGTTAAGTAAATTGCCCAAGATCACACAGCAAGTAAATGGTAGAGCTGGGGCTTGAACCCAGGTCTGTCTGACTCCAAAATGCATTCACTTAACTACTTCCCTCAAATTTCTCAGATTCTTGGACCACTTTCTCCTTTCCTCACCACATCCTACCATCCCTCATATTCCATATTCTTTCTGCACACACCCCACCCCCTACCCTCTCTCTCTCTCTCTCACATGCATGCACACACCCTTATGGCCTGCATCAGGAAAACACAGAGAGCACACCTGGGGCTCATGCATTACAAAGGAACACAGGGCTGACAGACACACAGGTGGAACAGACACAGTACTCACAAAGAACATGGACAATGTCCTCCGGTTGTGTAGTCGCCGCTGGGCACAGGTGGAGTGGGGATGAGGGAAGGAGGGAGAAACAGAGACACAGTGAGGCCCGGCAACAGGAGGCAGGGGTAGGGAGTGGAAGAACAGAGAAGGCAGAGGGGAGGGGCACAGTGATCAGAGGGAGTCACCAGGCTGGCAGGCACACCACTTCCAGTGGGTAATAAGGGTAAGCACAGGGAACAGGTGGGGGCTAGGGCAGGCTGGATGGTCTCACCAGGGTCTGATTGGCAGAGAGGAGGGTGGCTCCACTGTCATCCCCACGGATGGGCAGCAAAGGCATAGTGCCAAACTTCTGACGAGCAAGGTCAGAGGAGGAACGGCGCCGTAAGACCACTGGCTGCTGGTCATCGTGCTGGCAAGAGGGTGAAGGTTGGCACCGGTGGGCATGGGAGGCACTGAAGGGTATACCTGGGCCCCAGAGGGACCATAGACCCAGCCCTCAGCCTTTTCCTTCCCCTTACCTGGGCTTTAAGGATGCTGGTAGTCCAATCCCACATCTCATCCTCATCAGAGCAGGACAAGTAGCTGGGAATGATCAGAGTGGAATTAACAGGAGAGAGGGGTCACAGCTATAGGAATGGAGGAAGGAAAGAGGGAAGAGAGGATAGGATACAAGGCTGGGTCACAGGAGAAGCCAGGCCGGGAGGTACTCACAGGTGCATCTTCTCCAGTATCAATGTGAAGCCCCACCTGGAAGGCAAAGAGAACAGTGATGGGGCAATCAGAAAGGCCAGGGGGGTGAAGGCAGCCCATACAAATATGGGCTGGGGAAGAAAACTCACGGTGTTGGAGGCTTTAACTTCTTGCGGATTCCCAGGTAGACCTTGGCACCTTCCAGAGGCCACTCCCGTTCTGGTTTAGAGCTCTGAGCATGAACAGAGTCAGTAAGAGATGGGAGAAGATTATGGTTAATGAGGCCAAGAAGTCATGGAAGCACTGGGGTATGTGATCACAGGGTCAGAGAGGTGGAGGGATCAGGGAAGCAATGAGACTGACGAGAGTATAGGCTATGGAGTCAGAGAGTCAGTGCAGTCATGGCTCCCCTTACATGGCCACTTGGCATCCCATCCTTCTAACCTAGGGCCTCACCTTCTTCTCCTTGAGCAGCAGCAGGCACTGGCCACGCAGCAGAAAGAACCTCTCCTGGAAGCGGCTTCCCAGCAAGCGGGGTGGTTCCTCACGACACCGCAACAGCCCCACCCGTGGGCTCTCACGCCGGATACCTGGACACAGATGGGCAATGCTGGAGAGACGGGTATGCGGAGGGATGTGAGGGATGCTGGGCTGAAGAAGGCAACTCACCTGTGAAGAGGCAGCCAGCCTGGGCCAGGGAGACTTTTCTCAAGAGCAGGGAGGCTGAGCAGGGTTCTGGGAGCTGGCACCATTGTAGGGCTTGCTCTAGGACCTTTTCTTTGGGGTGCAGTGGTCGCTCTTAAGGGGAAGGTGGGAGTAGGTGTCAATCAGAATATCCATCCAAAGCCTGGAGTCCCCAGCTTGTCTCCCATCAGTCACTCATCCATTCATCCATTCTACCATCCAGCCACAGACATTTGAGCACCAGCTCTATGCCAGGCACTCTTCTTGCCCTGGGATACAGTGGTGAGCAAGATACCTATGGCCTGCCTCCACAGAGCCCGCAGCCTAGTGAGGGAGCAGACAGTGAACAAGTGAGAAAACAAAATAACTGCAGACAAATAATTGCTTTGAAAGAAACAATAAGCTGAGAGAGAGTAACAGAGCAGCAACTGAGGTAAGTGGCATTTGAAGATGAAACTCAAATATCTGAAGGATTGGAAAGAGCAAGCTATGCTAAGATCGGGGGGTAGATTTCAAGCATGACAAAATGTGAGAACAAAGGCCCTGAATCGGGCAAAATGCATTTGAGGAACTAACAGCCAGTGTGGCTGCAGCAAAGAGGACAGATAAGAGAACAGGTGATGTGAGATGAGGTCTGAGAAATAAGCAGAGGCTAGACATTCAGAGTCTTGTCAGCCATGATAAAGAATTTGAATTTTAAGTTCAATGGAAGCCATTGGAGGTTTTCAACCATGGGAATGGCATGATCTGATTTATGCCTGAAATGTTCATTTGGCTGCTGCATGGAAAATGGGTTGTAGGGAGACAAGAATGGAGCACTGTTAGCTATTCCCTTTCTGGGGCAATACATTTTAGTGGTTAATGCTGGGAGGCAGAAAAATAATGGTGACTTCAACTAGGGTGCTGGTAACAGTGGAGATGGAGAGAAGTAATAGATTCTAATAGAATCAACAGGACTAGTTGGTGGATTGGGTATGAAGATGAAGGAAAGGAAGGGGTCCCAGAGGACACCCATGTCTCTGGCCTTAATAACTGGATGAATTATGGTGCCATTTACTGAGTTCAGAAAAACTAGAAAATGGCCTGGGCTTTTTGTTAGGGGAGGAGGTTAGGAATCAAGTTTTGTCTTAGACATTTTAAATTTGAGATACTTGGGAGAAGTGGAGGTGTCCAGTAGGCAGATATGTGAGTATGCAGCTCAGAGGAGAGGTCTGGGCCAGAGATAAGATTTTGGTATCAGCTTATTAATGGCATTTAAAGCCATGGAAATGGATGAGTTAATCCAAGGAGAAATAGAGAACAGAAGAGGGCCCAGGATCCATCCATGGGTTCCTCCAACATTTGGAGTCTGGGCAAAAGATGAAGAGAAGGCTCTATTGAGGTAGAAAGGAAACCAAGAGCTTGTGGGGTTCACTGAAGCCAAGAGAGAAGAGTGGAGAAAGAGGCAGTGGGTCAACCACGTTGAAAGTCCACTCGTGGGCCCGGCCTGTGGCTCACTCGGGAGAGTGCGGTACTGATAACACCAAGGCCACGGGTTCGGATCCCATATAGGGATGGCCGGTT